TCTGCGGGAATCCCCCCAACCCTGCACCACCCCATCCTCTTAGCTTCAGAGCCTGGAGCAGGAGAAGGGGCGCTGGCGGGTGGAGAAGGCGCAGCTGGAGCAGAGCGTGGAGGAGAACAAGGAGCGCATGGAGAAGCTGGAGGGCTACTGGGGTGAAGCCCAGAGCCTGTGCCAGGCTGTGGACGAGCACCTGCGGGAGACGCAGGCTCAGTACCAGGCGCTGGAGCGGAAGTACAGCAAGGCCAAGCGCCTCATCAAAGACTACCAGCAGAAGTACGTAGCAGGGGCTGTGTCGCCCCTTGGGGGGAGGTCCCGGGTCTGCATGCTGAGCGCCAGAGCGAGCACCACGCCAGACCTCAGAGCCTGGGAGGAGCCCTGAGTGTCCCGCACGGAAGTCGGTCCGCGCTCTGACCGCTGCCTGCCTTGCCTGTCCAGGGAGATCGAGTTCCTAAAGAAGGAGACTGCACAGCGGCGCGTTCTGGAGGAGTCGGAGCTGGCCCGGAAGGAGGAGCTGGACAAACTCCTGGACAAGGTGGGGTGAGGGCCTGGCATCAGAGCCCTTTCCCAGCTAGTACCACCTGTGGGGTACGGGGGGGGGGAACTCGTCCTCACCTAGGGGAGCAGAGGGGCAGGGCCCATGTTGCCCAGGCCTAAGACCCCGCTACCCCAACTTTGTTTTCCAGATCTCAGAACTGGAAGGCAACCTGCAAACACTGAGGAATTCCAACTCTACTTAACAGGAATCATTCCTTGACTGGACAATAACAATCCCCTCCCGCTGTCCTCGCTCCCCTGTCCTCAATACCTACCCCGCCCCCTACCAGCCTGGGGACAGGTGCCCCGACTCTCCCCACCCCTCCACCCCACCTCCCCCAGCTTCAGGGACCAGAGGGCCCATTTCACAGGCCCCATTTAGGTGGCCCAGGCAGACAGTGGTGGCTGGAAGGGCGGCCTCCTGCTTGCCCCTTGGGGCTGAGGCTCAAGGGCCGAGGGAAGCCAAGGGCTGGCCTGGGTGGCGGATGGACACAAGGACCTGCAGACCAAACTGCCAGACTACAACCTCCAGCCTTCGTCTCTGGACTGGAGTGGGGCTGGGGCTCCCCCAGCATCTCGCCAACTGGAGGCTGCTCCCTGCCTGTGGGGCTCCTGGGGGTCCCTGGGTCTCTCGACTTGAGATTCTACCTTTGTGGCCCTCCCTGTCCTGTATCATCGTGCTGTCTGTCGCATTCTGACCCTCCCACTTGGGGGTTGCCTCAACACCTCCCGTCCTGCTCCTTGTCCCAGGAGGGATAGAGCACCCCACAGCCCTGAGGCTAGGCCTGGCCATGCACTGACTTCCCTTGGATCCTTGTGGAAAAGGGGTGAGAGTAGAAGGGGAGAGTCCAGGACACCCGGTCCCCAGCTCCCTCTTCCTGGAAAGGGCAGCACCCTGACTCCCCGTGCCTCCCCACTCCCAGGTGCCAAATAGCCATAACCTCCTCCTGGAACTATTCCTTCCTCTGGGGTCAGGGGGTCCTGGCTGAGCCTGGCAATGCCAGGGAGGAAAGGGGTGAGCTTGGGGGGCCTGGGCCTTGGCAGCAGCAGCTTTTCTCAGTGGAGAGCCAGATGCGTGCAGCCCTACCCACCGTACCCTCCCCAGGGCCACACCTGGAAGCCTTGTGTGGACATCACAGGGATTCAGCCTCAGCCGCCCTTCAGTCCCTTCCCCACACTGAGTTCCCGAATTTTGACTGGAGGGCAAAATTTTACTACTCATCTTTTTGGAGACCAGGGCTGCCCCCTGGTGGCAGCCTGCTTTCTAAGTGAAATCGACTTCCCCATTTTAATCTTAAATTAGGGCTAGGACCAAGGGAGGTGAAACCTTACCCTCCTCTATAAAATCCATTTTTCCCACTCCCTCTTGCCTCTGCCCTGAGCCTGGGTTTTGGTTCATTTTTTAAAAATCGACCCTGTTCCATCCGTCTCAGTTTCTCCTTGACCTCTGTAAATAGACCATACCATCGATCAGTATTGCCCATCCCTTCTCCTTTTTGCCTTCCCCCCAAAGTACTGGCTGTCTCGGTGCCCCGCCCATGCGCTTCGCCCGGGCTGATGGAGGGGCGGGGCCGCGGGCGCTTCGCCCTATCCCCGGGGAGGACCCCGTCTCTGTATATAATATATATATGTATGTATTGTTCCCGGTTTTGTACGGACCACGCCCTCTGTCAGGTCGTCCCCATAAATGCAGCCCCAGAGCCTCGATACCTGGTTTCTTGATTCGCTGGAGCGGGAGGGCTCAAGGCTGCCTCACCCCGGATACCCCTACAGTGTCCTAAGGTCTTAAACAGATCTTGTCCGTGTCCCCTCTGCCCCGTGCCAGCAGCACCAGCCTCAGTGCTAAAGGGTCTGGGAGTGATGCCAGTGCTCAGTGCCAGCTCTGGTGGGTCAGAGGTGAGGTGGAGGAAGCGAGAGACCCACAGCAATGCCCTGGTGCCTGTTATACACTCAGGACTGAAGCAAGCTTGAGTCCTGTGGCCCGCCTCAAGCAGATACTTAACCTTCCCAGCCTCAGGACCTTTCAGGATCTCCCTGGGTTCCTAACACCCCAAGATGAATGGCCTGTACCCAACTCCGGTGATCCCTGAGGTGGCACCCTCTTGGGGGTGGCTTTGTCACACTAGTCCCTTTTCCTCCCATGTCAAAGTCTGGTTTCTGGTATTTTCCCCATCCTAGACCTACACCCTGGGGTCCTTTGGCCAAGCACCTGAGCATCACCTGGAGAACTAGGGACAGTGCACCTGCCAGTGGATTAAGCTTGGGAGTGCCAAAGACACATCCAGGTGCTGAACCCATAGGTGCAGGCCCGTGGTCACAGCATTGAGGTCCCGAGAAGTGACTCAGATGGGCCTTGCTGAGGCGGAGAGATGTGAACTGTAAGCCTTTGCTGCCATCCAGGTGGTGTTCTCTTGTCCCCAGCTGTCCTGTACCCTAGTAGAGGGGCCTTGCACAGATGTTCTGAAAGATGAGTGAGCTAAGAAGCCCCTTGTGTAGCTGGAGATAGCTCTGCTGGGTGTTCTTGGTCCCACGGAAGGCTTGTTACATTAGCTTTCCTGTCACATCCCAGTCCCCTACACAGGCCACCTACAGTTCTGAGGGGCTTGAGCAGGTTTCCCATAACCCCAACATCTGCCTTAGGGGAGAGAATTCATATAAAATGGGGATTTCTAAGCTTGGAGGAGCTTGGGTTTCCCTAGTGACAGGGTCCTTCCAATTTGTGTGGCCTAGCAGGCATCCTGCCCTGCACCCTTTCCTGCCTGTTACCCTCTTTACATCCCCTCGCCAAGCCCTGGGGTTCTACAGGGCTGCAGAATCAATTCCCCACTCCAGCCCATACCTACCTCTCAGCAGATGCTTGCAAAACCACATCCTCTTTTGAAGACATTTATCTGTGGTACTGGGGGTTGAACCCAGGCCACACACATGTAAACACTAGGCAAGTGCTCTACCACAGAGCTACACCTCCAGCTCCCCACCCCTTTTTTTCGGTACTAGGGATCAAACTTGGGACCTTGCCCTTGCCAGGCAGGCGCTTATGCTGCTGACCTATCTCCCCATCCCACTTTCTTAATGGTTTTATTTTTAGACAAGATCTGAGCGTGCTACCCAGACTGGGTACAATCCTGCCTCAAACTCCGGAGAAGCTGGGATTACAGGTGTGGGCCACCATGTCCCGCAAATCACATATCACCTTTAAAGACTCCAGACATAACATTAAAGGTGGCCACCAACCTGTCCCTAGGTTTCCAGTCTAGCCAGGACCCAGTGCTGTCAGCACACACCCACCCCCTAAGCTCACAGATCTCTTGGGGGCACCCTCAGCCCCTGAGGGCATTCTTTCTTCGCCTGCAGTGCCACTTTCCACAGCTCTCGGCTTGCAGACATGAGGTAGGCTGGGTAGTGCTTGCATGGTGGAGTGAAGTACACTCCCTGCCAACTGTGCCAGTCCTGCCAGAGGGTAGCTGGCTGCTGGCGATGACATTACCGCCCCTGGCTGGCCTGCCACCAGGTCCAAGACTGAGCTCATCCATCCCCACCCCCACTTGTCTCCAGGCCTCCCTGCATCTAGCCAAGACCCACCTCCACTCTGGACCCTCCTTCCCTCTCAATTCTTTGTCCAGCCGGCCTTCACCTCTTGTCAATTTCTTTGGTCCTACATCTTGCCTAGTTCTCAGTCTGATCTTCAGTCTTAGGCTCCCTGATCCCTTCTCTCAGCCTCCTGAGAGGGCTCCCTGCTTCTGGCTTGCGCCTGGCATGCAACCTGCTCCTCGGGAGGAGTCAGCCCCAGGTTCCTCCTAAATGCAGATCCGAGCACGTCCTTCCTTTGGTAAACTTTTTAAAAAGACGCTGCTGGTAAAGTACTACAAACCTTGTCTGCACCTTCCACCCCCGTGGCCATGGCTACGGCAGGAGAAGCTACGCATCACCTTTACAAATTCTCCCTGTCCCCAGCCCTAGGCCGGGTCAGGAGCGCTCCCAGCGAAGCATCGGGCGTGAATCAGGGCCCGCTACTTGTCCGCACCCTCCCCACAATCGCCCGTCGCGGTCCTCTCCATCCTTGGTACCCGAGCTGGCGTTTCTCTGCGCGTTTGTTGAATGAATGAATCAAGAGTCCTCCCAGACCCTGCGGAATAGGCGAAAGCCACATGGGTCTCAAGGTAGGGCGGCTTGCCCCACCGCCCCCACTCACCCGCGCACATGCGGGGCACAGCGTCTCCCGCGGTCCCACAAGTAGCTGCGACTCGCGGTCCCCGGCCGGCCTTGCGCCCCCACCCCTCGCTCTTTGTCTCGGGGCGCTCGGCCTCCCCATCGCCCCCCTTGTACGGAACCGGGGACCCCAGCAGATCCGAGGACGCTAGGCGGCAGCGCGCATCCGCTTGGCGGGCGGGCACAGTGGGGGCGGGGGCGGGGCGGGAGGTGGCGCTCGCGTGCTCCCTCCCGCTCTTGCACACACACGCGCACCCTCACACACGCGCACACACACGCGCGCACGCACGCACGCACAGAGCATCCTCTCGTCAGGTCTCCCGGTCCAGCCCCGCCCGTGCCTCCTGCTTCCTTCCCGCAAACCCTTGCCCTCTGTCCCGGCCATCCTAGCGCTCGGTTCCTTCCAGCTCGGCTCCGGGACCCTCGGGTAGGCCCCACCCCCACCCCGGCATGGAGCGGATCGAGCCGGCCCGCAGCCCCCCGCGGCCCGGGTGACTGCCCCCGCCCCTCCCGCCGGCCCCGCCTCAGCACCATGGGCCTGAGGGGTTCCCGAGGCGCCGGACGGTGAAGATGACCGAGGCTGGAGGTGAGGGCTGCACGGGGGAGCGGGACTCCGAGTGGGCTTGGATGGCTGCAGGCGACCAGGGCCTTTCTTCCCGATCCCTGGGGACGGCGCAGGCTAGGGAGCTGGGCTGTCAGGGGAGGGGGCGGAGATAGGATTTGTGTCCCTAATCCCCTCCCTTCGGCCCCAGGGAAATTAATAAAAAACTGGTGTGGGGGAAGGGGACGGGCTTAACTCCTCCTAGCCCGGCGTAGAGTTGGAGAGAAACTGGTCCCCCCTGTGTTGGGGAGAGGGGGCCCCCAGGGTGGACAGGCTGTATGTCCCCCCAGCTCCTCCAAGGATCTTGGATGGGTGTCCGGCGCCAGCAGGCGTGGGAGGGGCACGGCCTCCCTAACCTACTCTGTTGCCCATCCCGCCTCTCCTACCCCTTCCCGCCTGTCTTTCCCAGTTACACTTCTCTCCCTCCCTCCTCCCTCTCCCTTCCTGGGCCCCTTTCTTTCCTGTGGCTGCAGGGCAGTGGTTTCCCTCCTCTGCCCTCCTGCACTCCAGCCCAGGGCGCTCAGAGCCAACAGCTGGGGTCTCCTGCTGCCCCAGCCGGCGCCTGACTCGTGGCTCCTACTCCTGTGCCTCCCCCCACCCACCCTGCTGGGCGCCTTTTCTTTCTTTTCTTCCTTCTTTTGGGTTCCAGCTAGGCTTGAGCTCACCTGCTTGCATCCCTCTGGCCCAGAGAGGGTCAGAAGCCACTGATGCTCCCTGGGAACTCTGTGTGTGTGTGTGCGTGTGTGTGTGTGCGTGTGTGTGTGTGTGTGTGTGTGGCACACGTGTATGTAGGACTGGGAGACAGGGGTAACTAACTCTAGGGCTCAGTTTTGGAAGAATTTTGGATGGCTGGAGGGACCCGGCCACTTCCCTAGAATTCCCTGTGGGATTGGCAGGGAGGGTCCCCCCCAGGACCTATGAACGGGAGCTGGCTGTTGGAGGGAGCAAAGCAGTTTGTGATGCATCAGGATGCAGTGGGTATGGGTGGGACCTGCAGGCCACCGCCCCCTCGGGAGTGCCCTCCAGCCACAAGCAGGTCTCAGGGCCTCGGTCCTGAATGAAGGACCCATGGCTGCCCATTCTCGGGTCTAAGACAGGAGGTACAAGGCTGTCCATGGAAAGCCTCCATTCCATGGGGAGAGGCAGTCCCTAACTTCATGGTGTCCCCTGTCCTCAGAGAGAGAAGACCTATGTAGGGGATCTGTGAGGTACCTTAAATTCTCCGTTGTGGAATGGTTGGGGATGGGTGGAGTTGGAAAAGGTTATTGTTGACAAATGAGAGGAAGGAGGGCTACCTAGGACAGCTCTCTGCAGGCAGCAAGGAGGACCTTGTCAGAGGAGGCATGACAGTCCATCTGTGGCATCTGGCTTGTTCTTAGGGAAGCTTTTCCTTTGGACCTGGCCTTTCTGGATGGGAAGAAATGTTTAGGTCTTGGCTAAAAGTCTCTGAGAACGGCAGGGGGCAGGTTCTGGAGGTGCTGTACGCCCCACACCTGATTTCCAGCTCAGCCCCGGATCTGTAGTCTCAGACTGCCTGATTCCAGCTGCTGTGGGCCCTCTTGCTGTCCTCCACCCCTGTCCCCTCTGCAGCAGGGTCCTTCCGCAAGAGCACTCTCAGAATTGCATATCATCCCCCAGGATGAAGCTGAGAGGCAGGACACACAGTCAGGGAGGAGTTCTTCTTCATCCCTGCATCTGAGTTTCCACACCTGTAAAGGGGGGGAGGCTGCTAGGACTCCAAGCCTGGCCAGCTCCCAGCAAGCACAAGTCTGTATAGTAAGGGAGGAGGAGGACTGGAAGGCATACGGCCATCCTACAGACACCTGCCAAGTGGAGTCTCTGGGCTGGGGACCTGCCTTTCTCTTGGGGACCTGAGTGTCAGAAATAACTAGAGAGCACATCTCAGGATGCAGTGTCCCCTTCCCCTAAACCATCAGTGGCTCCGGAAGTCCTTCCATCTCTCCTCATCCTGTTTCCCCTACATCTCCAAGGGAGCCTGCTCACTCTGTGTCAGCTGCCTGGATCCTGCTTCCTTACATGGATGGATGGATGGATGGATGGATGGATGGATGGATGGATGGATTGGTAGTTGGGTGGATGGATGGGTGGATGGGTGGGTGGATGGGTAGGTAAGTGGATGGATGGATGGATGGATGGATAGATGGGTGGGTGGATGGGTGAATGGGTGGATGGATGGGTAGGTAAGTGGATGGATGGATGGATGGATGGATGGGTGGGTGGGTGGATAGATGGGTGGATGGATGGATGGATGGATGGATGGATGGATGGATGGATGGATAGATGGGTGGGTGGATGGGTGGGTGGATGGGTAGGTAAATGGATGGATGGATGGGTGGATGGGTGGATAGATGGGTGGGTGGATGGGTGAATGGGCAGGTGGGTGGATGGATTGGTGGATAGATAGGTGGATGGTAGATAAATAAATGGTAGGTAGGTTGATGGAAGGATGGATGGAACAGCCTGGTTCTGATCCTATATTTGACATTAATCTGCCGTGTGATCTGGGGCTGGCCACTCCCTCCTCTTTCTGTGCTTGTAAAATGGGAGGATTGAATTTAATAATCCGTACAACTTCCCTAGACTTGATGTTGGACAGTTGATGATGCCGTTTAGGGGATGCTAGCAGTGCAGAGGTCCGAGACAGTGGAGGGACACATATAAAGGCAACAGCTGGTTGGTTTTGAGCAGTGCGCAAGACTCAGGCCTGCCTCAGCCCTGGACTTGCTTCTACTAGGCCCTTCTGCCTAAGCCTCTGCCCGAGTGAGCTCCCTCCAGTCTGGGGGAAGAGCCCAGTGGCTTCTCTTTCAGGAGAAGAAAGGGAAGGGAGAGGAGCGGAGGGGAGAGGAGCGGAGGGGAGAGGAGCGGAGGGGAGGGGAGAGGAGGGGAGCGGAGGGGAGCAGAGGGGCCAGTGGACCAGGAGCAAGTAGCCCACAGCACCTCTCCTCTCCTCCTGACTCAGCCAATTTGAACTTAGTTCTCTCTCTCTCTCTCTCTCTCTCTCTCTCTCTCTCTCTCTCTCTCTCTCTCTCTCTCTCTCCCTCTCTCCCTCTCTCCCTCTCTCTCTCCTTTTTCCTCCTTTCTCCTGACTTTTTTTTTTTTTCTCCTGACCTCTTAGCTCACTTGAGTCATGGCTTCTTCAAAACTCCGGGACCCTGCGGATGAGGTTTTTGGTAAGTTCTGTGTGTCCTGTCTGTCTGTAGCACTAGTCACAGCCATAGGGCACATCCTTCCAACATCCTGGACCCTGACTGGGGCAAGGGCAGACCTGGGGGCAGGGGTGCTGTGTGTGTGAAGAAGTTAGCCCACTTTCCACACGAGGAGTGCAGGATGCAGAGTGCTGAAGTGGCTTGCTTTAAAGATTACATGGTAAGAGGCAGATGTAGTGGTGAGCGCCTATCCCAGTCCCAGGAGGCTGAGGCAGGAGGTCTGCCTTTAGTTTGGCCAGCTTGGTCTACCTAGTGAGTTCAAGGCCATCCTGAACTGCGCAGTGAGACTGTGACTCAAAAACAACAAAGGTTGCCATGGCTGGAACGTCACCCGACTCCCTGCTCGGGGCTCTGTGCTGTGCCCATGCCTACTCCAACCAAAAAACAGGTGTGACATCCAGGCTCATCCTGGGGGACACAGAACCTCACCCTAATGGCTGTGCACTGAAATCACATGCGGCACACGCCTAGTCTCCAAGCCCAGAGAAGTCCCCTGATGCACACCAGTGTGGACCACTGTCCTCCCCACCTGTGCGGGAGACAAAAGCCCAGCAGGGCGGAGCTCCCAGCAGGCCTGGCACAGAGGGCACTGGGCTTGGCTGGAGGGAGGAGACCCAGGAGATGTGCAGGGCTGAGGGCTCTTGTGCCTGGACAGCCACAGCACCTCCCTATGCCCCCATCCCTCCTTTCCTCTGTGCATTTTGTCCCTGCCAGGCCAGGACCCTGGCTTCCCAGTGCCCTGGAGCTCCCACAAACCCTAGGCCTCTGTGGCTGCACACTCCCTACCACCTATCCTCTGCCCCAACCCAGCCCTTCCTGTTTTCCTTCTCTCTGCTGAGGTGGCTGGGCCCAACTTCCTGAGGTAAAAGGCAATTAAATATTCATTACTCCTACTGCCCAGGAGGAAGAGGAGGAGAGGGAGGAAGGGGGGTAGAGAAGGAGCCTTTGGCGTCGTGGGCTACCCCTGTGCCTCAGGACCCCAAGCCCTCTGGAGTTCCTCTGCTGTCTACATTCTCCACCTTAAGGTGATCTGAGGGCCCAGAGTTGGGAGCAGCAGACCTTTCTCCCTGGCACGGGTAGGCTGAGCGCCAGGAGAGAGAGAATTCTGAGAGTGCTGCCCCCAGGAGCCAGGAGACCAGACCTCATCCTAACTCTGCAGCCAGACCAGACCTTTCCACTCTGAGCTTCAGTTGCCCACCCAGGACATGAAGGTTGGACTCAGTCGCTCCCATCTCTTACTGCAAAAAGGCTATCTCACCGGGCGTAGTGGTATACCATGATTCCAGCACTCAGTGTACCAGGAGACTGAGGCAGGAGGATCACTGCAAGTTCGAAGCTAGCCTGGGCTCTGTTATGAGTTCAAGGCCAGGTTCTGAACCACAGAGTGAGGCCCTGCCTCAGAAGAAGAAAGAAAGAAAGAGTGGATGGATAGACGTGGCATACACGGTGGTTGTGCACCAGCCAGGTTGCTTGTCTTTTTTATTTTTTTTAGTATTTTTAGGGAAGGGCCTACAAGGTGTTCAGGGTCTCACTACTAGATCAGACTCATAGTGATTCTCCTGTTTACAGCCTCCCAAGTGCTGGGATTACAGGTACACACACCACCACGCCTAATCTCCAGGCCTGGGGAATCAAGCCCCCAGCCCCTGTGCCTGCTTACAGGCACTTTAATCCATTGAGCTATTTGGCCAGCCCTTAGATTGCTTGTCTAACCAAAACCAGGACCAGGGAGATAGCTTAGTGGAATAAGTGCGGCGTGCCTGGCAAGTACAGGGTCCCGAGTTCAATCCCCGGTACTGCAAAACAACAACAACAACAAAAGTAAGCAAAACCAGCTCTTGTCAGCTCTGTACCTTTGGGTACAACCCCGCCCTCACCAGCTGCCCCAGGGGTTCCTGGAGTCCCTTGTTTCTTGGGTACTGTGAGGTTTGAAGGAGCTGCAAAGTGATTTTGCAACACCTAAAGCGGGGCCTGGCACAGGAGGGAGGAGCACAGCATGGCGCTGCCGTCACTCCTCTGCAGATCCGGGTGTCCTTAGCCCCTGCTGCTTCTGTGTCAGAGGTCTGGGAAGGACGGAGCCCTCCCCAGCGCAGCCCCAGGGCTAAAAACACATGTGAAGCACGTGCCGCTGAGACTGGCACACAGCCGGGGCCCAAGACAGCAGCTGTCCTGCCAGCCGCTGCCCTTCACCCTGCCAGCAGAGTCCCACAGAGCCCCTGGCTTGAGCCGCGCTCTGTGCCCGGGAGAAGTTGGTGCTTGGGATAGCAGCCGCTGACAGAGGCCTGAGCTGGGACACTCATGTCCGGAGGGAGGCGACAGGCTGGGCTCCGTGCCGTTGGGAAAGGCCAGTCAACGGAGATCTGTTCTGCCATTTGAATAGCATTTACTAAGCAGCTTCTATGTCCCCAGCTGCTGCCTTATGCCTGCGGTGGTAAAGAAAACCGAAAAAGCTGTCCACGTGGAGCTGCTATTCTAATGGGGAGGAAAATAAATAATTTAAAATAGGTGTACAGCAAGCTATGCTGGAGTGTGCTGAACGATGTGGGGAACAGAACTGGAGTTTAGAAGGTATGGGGAAAGCTGTTAGAAACTGAGGTCAAAGCCAGGGTGGTGGCGCACATCTGTCATTCTAGTACTCAGGAGGCTGAGGCAGGAGAATTCCTTGAGAGTTCGAGACCAGCCTGAGCTACAAAGTGAGCTCAAGGCCAGCGTAAACTGCATAGTGAGACCCTGAGAGACAGAGGGAGGGAGTTGGGCGGGGGGAGAGGGAGAGGGAGAGGGAGAGACAGAGACAGGGACAGAGACAGACAGAGAGACAGAGAGAGACAGAGATAGAGAGACAGACAGAGAGAGAGCGAAATTGAGAGGTCAGAGAGGGCCTCATGTGAGCAAAGACCAGAGGAAGTAGTATTCCAGAATTGTGTAGGAATCTGGAAGGAGCCCCAGAGGAAGGCAGCAGAACATGTGCAAAGGCCCTGGGGTGCGCTCAGGAGAGAGAGAGAAGCAGCAGCTCAGAGAGACGAGGGAGGCACAGAACAAGTCCGTGAGGCCACCGGAAAGACACTGCCTCGTAGTCCACAAGATGGACGGCCCCGGAAGGCGCGGAGCGGAAGAGTGACAGAGCTGACAGGTTGCGTTAGGGTCACTCTGACTGCCGCTGTGTGTTGAAAATAGACTTGCGCATGGGGAAGGGAGGCTGCAGGAAAAGCCGCTAGGAGGCTTTGTGTAGTGGACAGCAGAGGGGATGCCGACCTGTATTGAGAGACTCCTTGTACAGAGCGGCTCCTTGATGCCCGGGAAGTTTGTATTTGCAATCCCATGGAAAAGTTATCGGAGGGGGCTGGGGAGATGGCTCAGTAGAATAAGCACTTCCCTGGCAAGCACAAGAGTCTGAGTTCAATTCCCGGTCCTGCCAAAAAAAAAAAAAAAGAGAGAGAGAGAAAAGTTATCGGAGGGCCTGAGAGATGGCTCGCTGGTCTAAGTCACCTGCTTAAGCAAGCTTAGGCAATCCTGCAGGGACCTTGGTTTGATCTCCAGCACCACAAGCTGTGCCAGCCCTACCCCCAGGGTGGGCTGAGCCGGCCACAAAAAAAAGAGAGAGAGAGAGAAGAAAGAAAGAAAGAAAAGTTATTGGAATCCTAGAGAGTTAATTCCAACCTACTGATATCGGTGCGATGACCAGCGGGGACCTAGGGCTGAACCCAGGTTTTATTAATTCATGAGGAGGGGAGTGGCTCGGGGTGAGTGACTGAGAAGGTGGAAGCAGGCGAGCGCCCAGAGCTGGGTTGGGTAGGCGGCCTGACCTCTGCATATGCAGAGAAGGGCTAAAGAAGGGCATCTGTGCAACACAATTCGAGGCAGGACAGAATGTTTTGGGGTCGGTGCCTCAGCTCTGATGGGAAATTTTTTTCTGGGAAGCCACAGTCTCTTATGTCAAGGCTCCATGCCAGCCGCAGAATGGCTCGGACTTTCCCACCCAGCTCACACACCAGTCATGGGCGCCACAGGGCGGGGCAGCACTGCCCTGTCACCTTGTTTCAAAGCCTACCATCAGCACCTCGCTGGAGTGATTTGCATGGCTTAAAGCCAACTGAGGGGATAAGGACAAGTCCTGGCCAGCTCTGGGCACATCAGCTCGTGGAAACGGAGCCAGGTTTAGCCAAGGTGGAGATAACTGCTCTTGTTTCAAGGAGAATCGTCTGGGTGGTCTTCCTCAACCTGAGCCAGGGAGACCACAGGCTCTCTGCCTTCATATGCAAACACATAGGCATGCGTGTAAGTATTGTGTCTCAGAAAATCTCAGACACGCAGCAGCAGGAGGAGGGCGTAGGGACCTCTGCCACCCATGCCTGCACCATCACCTCACCTCAGGCATGTCACGCCAGGGCAGGCTCATTTCTCCCCTATCTACCTTCAACCCCATCACCCTGGATTATTTTGAACTTGATCCAAAACATCATATCACTTCCCCATAATTAAAAAAAAATTATGTATTTGGTTGTTGTAGGGTGTTACTACACAGCTGGGACTCGTGATGATCCCCTTGCTTTCAGCCTCCCCAGTGCTGGGATTACAGGCATGTGCCACCCCCCCAACTCTGGCTGGCTCAGCCTGCGCTGGGGGCAGGGCTGGTGTGGCATGTGGTACTGGGGATCCAAACCCTGACCCTGTGCTTGCCTAAGCTTACCTAAGCTTTCCTAAGCAAGCGCTTTAGTCCACTGATCTATCTCACCAGCCTACTTCCTCATAAATATTAAAGCGCACCTAGTTATATTTCAAAAGTAGAGCCAGGCATGGAGGTGCACGCCTGTAATCCCAGCACTTGGGTGGCTGAGGCAGAAGAATTTGAAGTCAGCTTGGACTATACAGTGAGTTCAAAGGCCAGTCTGAACTACATAGTGAGACCCTCATTTCAGAAAGAGAGAAAGAGAAGAGGAGGGGAGGGGAGGGAAGGGGAAGGGAGGGGAAGGAACAGGACCTGTGGCTAGATCAGTCTCCAGGATCCAAGTGAGTGCTGTCTGGATGATGGTGGGGGAGGGTTAGACTTAGCCACTGAAGGTGGGGATGCTGTTCTCCTGGATTCTCCAGGAAGCTGGAGATGCCCGCTGGCATCCAAGTGCAAGTGTCAAGCAGATGGTTGGATACAGGAGTTACCAACTGGAGCTGGGGCTGAG